ACCCACTACATGAGTATATTTACAGTTAATATTTGATGTTGATAAAACAACTTATATAAATCTAAAAATAACAGTTAAGCATTATCGAGCATTTGCTAGCTGCTCTTCCATGCCTTTTATTTACAAATATTAAGTCATTTAGTCTTCATTATAACCCTATGAAGTAGGTACTATTATTATCTTCATTTTACAGTTAAGGAAACTGAGGCACAGGGAGATTAACTTGCCCATGGTCACTCGGGGTTTTGACCCCCATGACTTAGCTCTGGAGGTCACATTCTTAACCACTAAGATAAGCAACCTGTGTCACCATAACCATAAATGTTCCTAATTCGTAATTTATTTAGTCTGTCAGGTTGGAGCATTGAATTGACTTTTTATTAGTTGATTTATGTATACAAGGCTCCCATAAAATCATTCTTTCAACCACCTTAAAGATTGCTCCCACAAACGTTTTGACCAAAACATTATTTTATTTCAGTATCCTGTGTAGACACACAGTTAAATGACATATATTTGATACCAGCCTTCCCCATCACCCCCCTCCCTCATGGCACAACCCTTCCCTCAAGTAGAATTTAAAACATGCTTAAGGGACCCAAGAAATAAAAAGCATCAGAAAGTCATTCATTCCTTTTTGTTAGTATATTTGAAACTTTTGGAGAGGGGTTTTCTTCTTGGTAGTATTGTAACACATTATGCAAGCTCTAGAGAAAAGAGTTCACTGCATTTTGTTGGTAACAAGTTCATTAAACATAAATTCAAGTCCAGGTTAAGTAGTTATGCTTTTTGAAGATTTTATATCTAGTGTGGTCTGCTCAGTGTTACCAGGTTTCCACAGCAATATAGCTGTAACATTCCTTCTGACTTGCATCGGGCACACTGGAGCAGATTTATGTCATCGACCCCCACGAGGTATTCATCATTCTCTGAGGTCGTTTTTAGCTATCAAAGTAAGTGCATTAGGAAAAAAATGGCCCAAACTGCCTTCAAGCTAGGTCTCATGGTTAGCTTGCAGCGATGGAAAAACAGAAGTTGAAAATTCACAAAATTTTTTTGGCAGAGAGAGCATGAAGACTGAGATTCAAATGGGGGTGTTGCCATTCATTTGCACACTTAGAAAATGTCCCTGTTATGAAAAGCATGGCATACTTGGAGGGAAATAAACAGATTTATCAGCCGGGTTACAACTTTATGAGGTACAATGTTGAAAAGTTTCCATTGTCTCTGTGAAATCCTGAAGAGATAATTTAGAAAAGGCTGGATTATGTGTCTCTTCTGTCAGGTGCTAGAAAAAGTATTAAGAACCAGGTATACTTTTCTCACTCAAGACTGGGCCAGGTTCTAAAGAACTGTTATATTTTCAACATTGTATCTTTGAAAGTCAAACAACTACCTTTGGTACATGTTTGAGAGCGGTTATGACCTAACTACATACCTGCAGTCGAACTGAGGGGAGTGACATTTAGGCAGGAGTATTCCATTGTCAAGTGCTTCAGGACTTGGCCGACAGGAGTTGCATCTCCACTGAAAAGCTCAGAGACCTGAACTGTATCTGAATCAAGGCTTGCAGCCTGGGGAGAGGAGGTAGAGATGAAAAGGTCACCTCAGATGGGTAAAGATTAGGATGAGTCAATGGAAAATAGACTCATAAAGAGCCTTTAATTTGAGGTTTCTATCTGTGTGTGCATGTAGGTGGGTGTATTGTACAGTCATGTGCCGAGCAAGGACGTTTCGGTCAACAACAAACCACAAATACGATGGCGGTCCCATTCGATTATAAGAGTGGAGAAGTTCCTGTCACCTAGTGAGTCGTAGCTGTCATAATGTAGCAAAACCATGACCCACATGGTATAAACAAACCTACTGCACGGCCAGTTGTATTAAATTATAATACGTGCAATTATGTTCAGTACATAATACTCGATTATGATCACTGTTGCCAGTTTATGTATTTATATTATGCTTCTGATCATCATTTTAGATTGTATTCTTTTCTACTTATGAAATTTTTTTTTTCCCAGGGAAACAGCATGCCATGTTATGCTGGTAGCAGCCTCACATGTCTANTTGTATTCTTTTCTACTTATGAAATTTTTTTTCCCCAGGGAAACAGCATGCCATGTTATGCTGGTAGCAGCCTCACATGTCTATTAACCATGTGTCCTGAATGCATGATTCTCTCTTGTGCTTGATTTGTCCCTGTTGTTTTGTAAATTTAGTGTAGCCTGCATGCGCAGTGTTTATAAAGTCCAGCAGTGCCCGTAACGCCCGGGGCCGCACACACCGCACACTCAGGACTCACCCAGAGCAACTTCCAGGCCTGCAGGCTCCGTTCCTCTAAGCGCCCTAAACAGGGGGATCATTTTTTTATCTTTTACACCATATTTTTACTGTACCTTTTCTATGTTTAGATCTATTTAGATACAGAAATACTTGTACTATGTTACAGTTGCCCCCAGTGTTCAGCACAGGCCTGCGGCCCGGGAGCAGCGGGCTCTGCCCCCCGCGCCTGTGGGAGCGCGCTCCTGACAGCTGCGCAACCACGAGGTCCGCTCAGGTTTGCAGAACGTAGGCTGCCGTTACCAGGTGCAGGACTCTACTTACATGTGCGTGATTTCATTAAAGAAACCGATACAGAACTTTAAAAAGGAACAAGCAAGCGAAAGCGTTTCTTCTGTCCGCCCAAATTGTTCTCTCCCGCCACTTCCCCCCCCTGCCCCCAGCTGGCGGATTTTCTATGTACAGTTGATTCCAAAGGGGGAGGGTGCTGGCATTGGCAGTGAACCTCTTCACTTAGGGGTTTCTACATAAATTTAAGATGGCTGAGGGCACAATTCAGTTATTTTCATGCATTTGTGTTCATGATGCTTCTCCTTTTCTAATTTCAATAGTTTGGATAATAGGCTTTGTTTTCTACTCTAAAAGTCTTTAAGGGCAGTTTATTCTGTACTTCCTTGGCACGCGTACTGGTGTCTTAAAGCCGTATCCAAATTCACCTGCATAGTAAGGAGTCTTCAGTCCAATTGTTGAGGCTTACCCAACTTATAAGCACAGTGTAATAGATCTCAAAAAACAAACAGATTCAGGAAGTTAAAGGAGTTTGGTTCTTTTAGGAACTGTAATTCCTTTTTAATAGCAATAAATATTGACTAGATTTTTAGGGTAAAGAGCAACTTCATGAATAATTTTCCAAAGCTGCTGGGGAGTTTAAATGTCTTCTTCCTGGCCCTGGACAACCCCTTACTCCACAGAACTTCAGCCTAAGAGTCCAGTATCTAGTCTCACACGCTTTAAAAATGAATATGCTTTATTTGTCCATTTTCTCCCATGTATATCAAAATCCAATATAAGACTGTAAATCAATAATTATGTTAAGTATGTATTTGTTAGACTAAGTCCAAATTAGGGACTTTACCTGTAAAACCTTGGGTCGAGATATAATCAATCTGTTAAGTATACACTTGGGTACCCCAATATGACAGTGGTGGAATTACCCAGGGCAGAGGGAAAATTCCAGACATGAAGATATCCTCAAGCAGCTATTTACCACTGACTCACCTGTTGATTAGAGTATCTGAGTCCCTCAGAGAGGCAATTACGAACTCTGAAAATTCCCATGCTTAGTGATGACCTTCCGCCCATAAAAAGTAAGGTATGAATCCCGTTACCTCTCCCTTCCCACCTCTCCTTCCTGATTCCAATTTTGTCTCTGTGGAAAAATCTGTCCAGTGGGCTATATGAGTAACTATCTCATCCTACCTTAAATATTCTCTGCAAGTACCTTGATATCAAGGTTGAAGGAAACATTTGGGATGAGACAGCACAACATAATTTGAAGATAAGCTCCTCCTTAGACTTGGCCTAGGTGTGATCCAAAATACTAATTCAGCTTCTCACTGGCTTCTATAGACTGGATGTTTGTGTCCCTCCAAAATTCATGTTAGATCCTAACACCTAATGTGATGGCATTTGGAGGTGGGGCCTTTGGGAGGTGATTAGATCATGAGGGCTGAGCCCTTGTGAATGGGATTAGTGCCTTTATAAAAAAAGACCCCCCCCCCCGAGAGCTCTCTTG